TATTTATTATAGCTTTGACATTATTATTTTTTTGTATTGAGTGAACGATACTGAAGACTCCTATTTTATCTATTTTCATGAGATTTATGTATTGATTAATGTCATTCTGATCCTAGTTAGAAAATTAATGAATAAATTTAAAAACAGGTAAACTGATGAACAGATAAGTTGACCAAGATTGACCTAGACCACTAGCTTTTAATATTAGGCAAAGAGGAGTCATCAGTGCAGTTGGTTTTTAGCAGAGCTGATATCTCCTGCCTTGAAATTCTGGGGAAGCAGAAACTACCCAATACCCTTAGGCTGTGTGATTTAGGGATTAGTATTTTGATAGTCAGGGAGGGAAGTATACCAGTCCTTTTACAGTTTGTTGTTTCATACTCTTTTTACAGTCAGTATGGCACAATATGTTATACAAATTAGTTATTTTTTGTTTTATTATGTATCAGATATGTTTCATTCATAGAGGTTACTTTTCTAATATGTATGGTTTGATAGTTTGTTTTTTTTATACAGCATCCTAGAGAGTCCAGATACCTTATTCTTGTGAGAATATTAGGATAGTGTGCCTTGTCTTCAAAGCAGAGGGCTGGATCAAAGTAGCTATTGGTTATTTTGTGCATAAATTAGATTGGGTAATGGGAAAGAAGTTGTTCATGCACCAAAACCAAGTGGGCATCAATCACCATATCTAAAAGCTTGTAATTTTTTGTTTTATACAAGGGGAATGTTTGCCCAAATTATTGGATACCTTAATAGATGTATGACTTCCATAGCACATTCCAGGACAGTGCTCACAAGAAAAAAAAAATGATTTTAAATGTCCAGGGTGGCAAATACCTCTGGTGGTACACTTGCAGTACCAGAATGGTGAAGAAGAGCCCCCACTCCCCATGCCTGAGACAACAATGGAGTTTATTCTCACAGAAGGGCAACTACAGCACAGATGCCTAGTATGTTTTCTCATGGTCTCATAACATCACTTATACTCAGTACCCTTGAACAAATTCCAGTGTTACAAATCTGGAAGAGGAATTAAATAAGAAGAAATAACATCACAGAACAAGGAATGTACTTCATGCATTAAGAAGTCAAATAAGATATAACACCAAAATGCATCAATTATATTTCTTGTTCAGTTGAGTTGTTCATTTTCATCCCTTTTCCTTATTTGCCATATTGAACTTTCTTTAAGGGTACAGAGTATTTGTGTGATGGTTGGAGATATGTGAATAAGGTGAATAAGCATTACTGAAGGCATCTATTTTCAGAGAGGGAGGGGGAAAGGGTGGGTGAATGAGGGGGGGGGGGGATTGTATGGATATATACACACCCAGCATCAGTGGGTTAAAAACAGCTTGAAACAGCATAAGCTTCTGTGCTGAAACTGCTCTTGAAAAGCACTGGTCACTTGTTTTGTTAAAATTTCATAATGTTTGCATTAGGGCTCTTGTAGTGGGCACACCTATAGCCATCATTAAAAAACGACTACTCATGATGTTAAAGCAAGTTGAGCAAGTTATAAACATCAGACTCCCCGCCCAAAAGGCTAGACAGTTTCCAGAAGTCACCAGAATGAGTGACTCCCATAAATTTCCTGTGTCATTATTGTAGGGCTTAAAACCTAAAAAGAATAAAGGCCCACTTGTATTTTTCCTTTATTTGTTAACCCCTTGGATCCAGATGCACATGGCCCAAAATACAGGCTTTAGGCTAACTTGAGTGGCCACTCTGTCAGGAGTGTGGCTCTTATACCAGGCACACGTGAACACTCGTTCAGTGGCAAGAGAGCCCATGCCTCCCCTTTTTATTTTATTTTATTTATTTATTTTTTATTTATTTATTAATTATTTATTTTTTTTTTCTCTCTCCTTTCCCTTCTTTATCCCCCCCCCCCCATTTTCTAATGTCTATATTTGTCATTTGATTTTCTTTATCCAGATGGTAATAGACTGTCTTCTATGCACACACTCTGTATCATCTGTCTTGTCTTGGTAATGCAATAATAATAATAATAACAAGTAAAATTTTGTTATTTGTGTCACTTTTTACATTTTTTTTGTAGTATTCAATTTTCTGTAATACAACATGTATCACACTCCTTTATCAATAGAAATAATGCAAAAGCTCTTTCGTAAATGCCAACTGAGCCTAATCACCCTCCAAGAGTCATTCCCATGCATTCAGCTGAAATTCTAATGACAAGTTCTTTCACTCCGGCCCTCAGCCAAACTTTCTTGTAATGTCATGTTCACATCACCCATCCCTCAAGCCAGTTTTTTCCATGACAGGATGGTCACTTCATCCAGATCGTAGGAGTCAGATCTATGCCTTGCATGAAATTTTAGTTGGAAAATTGCCTCCCTCAAGTACATGATATGATTTTATAACCCTTTCCTTCTATACCATTTTTATCACAAATTAAACAATTGAAAAGTAATTTAATGTCTAGTTAACTACCAATTACCTATAGTCGTTTAACTTTACCACGAAGTGGATTTAAGCAGGGAGTGTGCAGAGGTCGATGGGGCTAACAATATATTGGTAAAGTTTATTGTTGGGTTAGGCTAGGTTCAGGTTCCTATGTAGTCCATTTTTTCTTTCTTTCTTTTTTCTCCCCAATGCAAGCCAAGTTCAAATGGAATTGGTTGGTGCTCACCATGAACCACAAGCCATTATTACTAATAATTTCTAATTTTCATTGGAAATAGAATTGGCTTTTATAAGTGCCTGATCTATTGAATGGTGTTATTTATATTTCAAAATTTAGGGTTGTATCTATACTGGACTGTACCCCCACCCCCCCTCCCCCAATATTATTTTACAGGAAACGTCTTCCCGGGTTTAATTTTAGTTCTGTAAATGAGATATCAGCTCTTATAAACCAGATAAGAGTTCAGATCCTGCCTCTGAAGTAGAAGTGTTGTGTGCTTACTTTGCACTGCATATTTGCACCTTTGTGAATTACCATTGACTTTAATCGCATGCAATGAGCGTCAAGTGTGATTTCCTGCGTTTTACAGAAATCGCACAGTTTACATGTTGGTTTAGATATCTGAAAGTTTTGCATGAGTAGCAATGTTTGTTTAAAAATTGTGGTTTTCTGTAGACTAATCTGGTTTTAATCCATGTAATTAGAAGAGCTTGCCCAAGCTTTTTCTGAAGTCCTAACCAGGCCAGCCTCCTCTGCAGGCCTTGCATCATGGGCTCATGTCCAGAACTAACAGTGCCACTTTCAGGATCCCTTTGTGAAATCTAAAATTTTGTGTTTGCTCCTTTTATCAAGATACATTTTTTTTCTTCTTCTTCTTCTTCTTCTTTTTCCTAAAGATTACAAATTCATCTAATAGAAAATAAATAGCACAGCTATGAACTGGTTATGTTTGTTCTTGACTATAAAAACAAATTTATATTGTGTTCTCTTTCATTCTTTTATTATTCTCTCAGTTCCCAAGCTGGGGCAAGTCTAGTTATTTATTTGTCATAGATTTTTTTTTTTTTTTTTTTTTTTTTTTTTCCTCTCTTTCTTTTCTTTTTTATGTATTTGAACTAACATGATAAAGCTTTTTTAAAAAAATTAGCTGATGCTTTAAAATAAAGAGCTTGTGCTGTGGTCCTGGCATGGGCCAGCCCAGCTATATGTAGCATGTCAGTCACGTGTGTGTTTTCCTTGCCTCTTTTATATATATTGTGCTGTGGTCCTGGCATGGGCCAGCCCAGCTATATGTAGCATGTCAGTCACGTGTGTGTTTTCCTTGCCTCTTTTATATATATTTTTTGCCCCCGTGCATGTGCGTGCAGGAATATTCAGAGGAATTCCGCGACATTAGCGGCAAAGGCAAGCGCAGCGGCCAGATCCCCGAGGGCGCCATCACGCTGCTCAACCAGCGCACCGTCGGAGATGACCTGCCAGTAATTGACCAATCTCCTCTCTGTTCCCTCATGTTAAACTCTCCCTTTGGAAATCTACTCCACATAACACTCAGTTTTAATCTTTTATACTGTTTCACTAGTCAGCCTCATTACTGCTGTTCACTGACATTTTCAGATTTTTACACTACTCTTGAATATATGAGTATTAAGGGAATTTCCAGCTACTATAACATTCTTACAGTATTCTAACTTTACAGAGATTTCAAGAACGTTATTAATGTTCACTCTTTACTTTTGCCTAAACTGGGCCTTTCTCATTCATATAGATAATACAGATAGATATGAACATTTTCACATAATCATTAACACTCGCATATGTTCAGTTACTCTTGTGAAGTACACTCTACCTGTGTATATGCTTATGCGTATGTGTCGGGAATGGTTCCTCTGTGCATAGTATAGTGTGAACGGCTTAATAAGCTAGTATATTTGTGAAGATGTTTTTGGCATAACGAATGTAAAGGAAAGGGGGCAAGGTGTTCAGTGCCAGATATCAGAGAAACAGGAAGTATGGGAAAGAGGGTGTTTTAAAGAGTAGATTTACATGAGGTGGAAGTGGGATTGACAGAACATCTTGCTTGTTAGGATGATGTGCAGGTATTATATGATATATGGGGAGAAAGTGAAAGCAATACAGTAGTATCATTATCATATGTGACATGTAGGGAGAGGTGACAATGTTCAGTGAAACTTGGGGAAAGTGCAGGATAGGCAGTTCCTCTTACTGTAGATTTCTTGTATTTGTTATGAGCAACGTTCCTGTTTGGAAAGATGATTTGATTCATTGGTAGCACTGTTGTAATATTTCAGCATGAGGATGATTCAAGAGTTATGGAATGTATACCCTTGGCATGCAGGTCATACATAAGTTATTGAAACATTGCAAGTCTATCCAGAAATGATGTTATGCCATTGATAGTGGTTCTGGGAATGTCTGGAGGGTTTGTTGTTGAGATTAGAGGACCAGGAAGCGTTAAGTGGGAGGAAGTGTTGAATAAGTCGGAGAGTAGCTTGGACTGGGTATTCATGATAGAGAGTAGAGATGAATGAAAAGCTCAGTCATAAGTCATGGCACTCGATGGATATCTTATGCACTGTTTTTTAATGGAGACTAGGACATCTAATGTATGTTACAGCTGTGCAGAAATTCCACCACTTCACTTCGCTATCCCACTTAGATTTCCCCCACTTCTACCAGTCATTCTTCTTTGTCTTCTTTGTTTCTTCTTTGTATTTCTCCCCTCTCTTCTCCTCCTCCTCCTCAACTTCACCTCAGAGTTTCACAGTTGTATCTTAATGAGAAGAAAAATGACATCTATCCCGTGTCATTCACATATGCTCTACATTTATAATAACCTGCACTTTCACTGCTGTGTTTTCTAAATCCTTTCCACAAGTGGTTGCTCTCTTGTCCTTTTATCATATGTCAGCTCTATTTTATCATCAGTCATCTTGGCACATGACTTATAGAGTCCACTTTGGTTTCCATACAGTATCACACTATTCACTATTATAGTGGCACAAAGTTATTAGGCATCTCAGGTAAAGCACTGCACAAACTTTCATCACCAAACACAGACTTCCAGTTCCAACATTGGATCATTTCACTTCATTCTCACTTCATACTCATACATGCATAGACTGACATACATACACATAAAAACTTTAACATTTTTTGGTAGGCTTCATTTGAAACAAAGTTTGGTAAACAACTTGAGTTAGAGATGGTCCAGCCTTTCTTAAGCCCAGGTGGTTAAACGCAGGTTTGTAATTTGCATACAGTTTCATAGACAACTTGTACAATATTCTCAAGTGCTTTCCTCAAATGCTGAAGCATACATATGAATAATACATTAAGATTGTTTTGCTTTTTTTGAGTTTAGAATTACTTCTGATTACAAGCTAGTGTAAGGGAATGTGTGAAATCATATATTGTGTGCTTGCTGTTGCCTTTTATTGTGATTTAAAGTAAAAGGTGTTTCACATGTAATCAGGTATGTTACCATCTCAGAGTTATGAGATAGAAGCTTGCCCTACTGCTTAGCTTCCTAAGCTTTTTGGTTCCTTAGAATTGGCATATTGTGCTTCTGATATTTGCTGATTTGCTAATTACCTGGAAGAAAGAATGGGAAAGATAAATTTTCCTATTTGCTATTGTTTGGTTGTATGAATAACCAAACCAACAAAAATGAATAGCTTTAAAAAAGGATAAAGTTCATCCTGATAATTGGCCTGTATGCCATCTCCCCTAGCAGTTTGGCAACCCTCTTAGTGCAGCTGAAGTCTTTATTACGTTTCATGAATTCTGATGAACTAGCAGATTTGGGAAAGATCTGTTACTGCTTTCTCACTCCCTTACCACACAAATGGACTTAATGCAGCTATCCAAAAAAAAAAAAAAAAAAGAATAAAATCATTGCCATAGAAGAAGGATAGGGAACCATTTCCTCTGAAGCATTTTCAAATAGTTAAATACTCCAAGAGAAACCAGTGGGAGGGATGCCAGGGATGTGGCAGTTAGCATCAGAAGTAAAGTCATGTTTGTAGGACAGGTAAACTTGAGATGAATTCATATGTTAAACATTTTGAGGTTCTTTATATCTTTTAACCCAATGGCGCCGGGTGTACAAAACAAAAAAAAAAAACTCTATGCTTAAGCAAACAAAGGCGGTGATTCGGGGACATCAGCCCAAATCACTGGCTCGCCGCGCTTTGGCGCGCCGCCGGCTCATTTGGCTGCACGCCAGCTTTTGAGCGTTTTGTTTGCACGCCGATCGGCGTCACCCGGCACCAAGGGGTTAATGGAGATAGTCTCATAAAAAATGTTAGATATAATATTTAGCTTTAAGAAAATATAAATAGCATTATCTTGTGTTCTGTATGCAAAGAGAGTAAACAGTGACCCAAAAATTTCCAAATTATATATCATTATCTACAGTAGGATAAGTTTCAGTTCACCAGCTGAACTTTGGAGAATTGTTGAATATTATCATAGGTGCCATGTTTGAGGAAGTCAGGTATTAAACTTGATAAATATTAAAGATCTCTTTTTCCATATTTTCCTTGTGATGACCAGTTCTCAAAGTGAAAATTCTGTATTTTATTCTGTCTTTGAATCTTTTATATACTGAATACCTTTTGGTAATTAGTTATATGCAATTAACATTGTATCAGGATTCAAGTTGATTAATGCTTAACCCACTCATGATAGGTAGAATTTTAAGTATGTTTGGCAATCCAGAATGCTTTACTGCCTGGGCTATTGTCCGGCTCATAGCCCATAACATGATTTGACATCACCTGCATTACACTGATTAACTTCTTGTGTCCTGAATACAAGTTTATAGTTAAGTATCTTCACTCTCATTTCTCATTTCCTTTTTGCACTTGTGCATATGGAACACATATAATGTTCTTGAAGGATAACTTGCTTGTGAGTCAAATCTCATCTTATTGTAATGGATGCAGGGGGTCAAGCATGAGGCAAAACTATTTTTCACATTCTTGGACATTTGGAGTGTGTCCACTTAAACCACATGTTGGATTGAAGTATGTAGAATACTCAATTTGTTGTCTTTGTTTGAGAATATGGAGTTCTAGATCAGATAATTTATTGCCGATGGGAAATCAAATTTATTGATATATAATCTAAGGGAGGCAGAGACAGTAAGCAAAATATTTAGGTTTAGTGTCAGGTGGAAAGCACAAATCTTGTTGCAATATCTGTGATTGGAAGTAACTGAGTTACTATAGTTGTATAACTAGGAACTGAAGCTTCAATTATTATTTTTATTATCATTATTATTATTATTATCATTATTTATCATCACCATTTTTAAGCTACCCATTAAAAGATCTTTATTGTTAACTTATATATTGACTGAAGTGTGTATATATGAATAGAGTATACTGTAGTTGTCTTATATATTTTAACCTGTGGTGTTAGCCTTATGGATAAGCTCATGGCTGAGGGTCGGAAAGGGTAGGTTGAACAACGGTAAGGTGCCAACCATCTATAAACTCTCCTGCACCCTAGTGGCAGGATGGGCAGGGTAAAGTTCTTGTTTGTTCTTCTATGTAGTTGGGGTTTGCATGAGGTTTACTCTAGTTTCCTGCATGGGGGCCTTGGGGGTTTACAGAGAAGAGTAGCTGCTTCTTGCCTGCAGTGGGTGTGTTTGCAATTTGTGTTTTGTCCTTTGCTTGGATGGAATTTGGTGTTGCTTTGTGACCTTATGCCACCTCAGGCCTCAACCCAAATGGCTGCAGCTGCAGTCACAGTCTCTCATTTACATCAGACTTACTACTAGCCTACTGTTTACATATATATGTATATATATATATTTGTTTTTATGTAATGTGTTATTATTGTTGATAAACGGAATAAAAAGAAATTCATGAACTCAAGATTAAATAGTTCATTCTGCAATAGATGTGTGAAAAAGTAATTTAGCAACTTGAAAAGACAAAAGTGCAGTTTTATGATGATTTTTTTATCATCCTCTTTTTTTTTTAGTTGTCTCCATAATAAAGAATGTATATTATCTGATCAGAATTTTGGGATGCCCTCAGCCAAGAGCATGTTTGGTGCTCTGCAGACTTGGCACTCATGGCTCCCACTCAGAGGAAGCACTCAGCTGACACGTCTCTTCTCCCATCACAGGAGTACACCCCAGATCTGCACCGCATCAGTAAGAAGGGAACCAAAGGAGCCGTGAGCGGTACGGGAGACGTCACGCTCACATCCGTCAAAGGACCGCCCAACCACACCTCGCCAGCCACTTCTAAAGCCTCAGACAACAACAGACACTCGGCGATAAGGTAGGAAACCACCTCAACCTGTTCTAGCTGCTGGGGTTGGCTGCGTCTTGGGCCTTCCCCTCTCCTCCTTCCTTCTCTTCGCTGTTCCTATTCCCTCCTAGATTTTTTCTTGTCTCTTATTGAAATCATTTTAAAGGGAAATGGTTGCTTGTTTAGATACCATTAACATTTAATCATCAGCATAGATGTTACATGCAGTTAATGATAAATGGAAATAATAAGAATTCCCTTTGATAGTTCAAGTAATAATTGCTTTCTCATCTTTCTGTAAAATATCATAAATTATTGGCTAATTGGGTATTGCACATACAAGTTCAGGAGCCAGATAACACACACACACACACACACACACACACACACACACACACACACACACACACACACACACACACACACACACACACACTCTCTCTCTCTCTCTCTCTCTCACTCTCACTCTCACTCTCACTCTCACTCTCACTCTCACTCTCACTCACTCACTCACTCTCATTCTCTCATTCTCCGACTCACTCTCACTCTCTCTCATTCTCTCATTCTCTCTCTCTCTCTCTCTCTCTCTCTCTCTCTCTCTCTCTCTCTCTCTCTCTCTCTCTCTCTCTCTCTTTCTCTCTTTTTCACTATCTGCCTATCTATATATCTGTAAAACACAGGCTTTTACATTAAGGATGATCCTAATTTTTTTTATTCAGACATACATTTTCCAATTAAACCAGCAGTTTCCAGGCTCATTTTGGCCTTCGATACCCATTAAATGCATAAACTCAAACTGTATACTCAAAATAGGAAAATGCTTGCTGATGACCTGAGAAACATGTATTGACATATGTGCATGTCTGTTATTTTGTGATTGTTGCTTCATTTCAAGTGATCTTGGAGACATTTGTACATAGTTGTGATTTGTTAGTTATTATTGCATAGGAAAGGTAAAGCACAGGCAGGAGCTGGGCCAGTAAGCAGTAAGGGTTATTGTTGGGAATGATGACCATCACTTTGTCACATTTGGTCTCCACTGAATTACTTATTTGTTGTGACTGCTTTTCCCTTGCATGGAATGTCAAGAGGGTGTTCCTTCACACAGCTTAGTTGATTGCCTCTGTACAGAGGCTGCAACCCATAAACCAGAGGCTCAGGAGCTTTTCTTTAAAAGGAAAGCTTTTGCAGAGAGGTTGGAGTGAGAGAATATTTGAATTTTCCATCTTGCATCCTGGCCCTAAGGGTTCATGCAGGATTTGAGATGAGTGGTTCTTTTTTGCTGCCTTGAGTGATCCTTACTCTCCTTGCTAGTACACAAACACATTGTCATCTTATTGTCATCTTAGTGGCTATACACTTTGTTTCTAGCTCTTAATTCCATTTTATTAGAGAGATTTCTATAAAATGATAATAGTAATGAAAAGATAAAAAAGAAAGAAGTATCTCTCTATAAGTACTCATGGAGTTAGAAATGTTTAGGTTTCTGTTACATCTGGGTTTGTTTTTGTTTGCTTTCTTACATTGTCCTTGTGAGGAAAAAAGTTATAGATAGAAGTATAATAAGATATAGATGGTATTTAAGAAAACAAAAATCTGAGAATATGTGTCAAAGAAGATTTAAGAGAAAAACAGTCTGATGTGCTTATATTTTCAGTCTATTTACCAAACGTTCAGAGTTGCCTTTTCAATTGTGATTGAAAGTTATCAATACCAAGCTTTGTTACTCATTCATTGATTAACAGTAGGGAGAGCCTTTTCCCCAGGTCACTGCTCATCATAAAGACTGGAGAGAAAAGTCAGAAATAAGTCAACATGAAAGTTTTTTGTTCTTTGAAAAAAGGGGAAGATCTGTCAGAGGAAAATAATATTTTGTGCACATCTAAGATTTTTGGAAGCCAAGTTATATTTCATAAGTGATTGGGGTGCGAAGCAATGCTGGGACAGCCCTTAGAAGATTTTTGGTTTTGTGGCACATCTTGAGAACAGAATCCTGTTTGTAATTGTGACCTTGGAGGTGTTCATTCTGTTGTCTGGGGTTGAAGTTGTTGGATTAGCTGCTGAACATTCTCTACCTGCAGGAATATTGGTCTCTCTCTCTCTCTCTCTCTCTCTCTCTCTCTCTCTCTCTCTCTCTCTCTCTCTCTCTCTCTCTCTCTCTCTCTCTCCTCTCCCTCTCCCTCCTCTCCCTCTCCCTCTCCCTCCCTCCCTCCCTCCCTCCCTCCCTCCCTCTCCCCCCTCCCCCCCCCCCTCTCTCTCTTTCTTTCTGTTTTATTTAGTCTTATCTCATGTTGGTGTGGCTCACAGAGAAATTGCTATTGAAGTACTAACTTCTATGGCTGGATGCAGTGCAGTAGATGTCTCCTTTTGTCATATTGAAGAATGATTCAGAGGGGCACATTCAAAAGCAGTTTTGTGTTGCAGTATATATCTTGGTAGGCAATGCAGTAGCAAGTGTTGTTAAGTAGATGATAGGATGCCAGTAGAGAAGCCAAGACGTAGTGAGATCACAGCTTTCCCAGGATCTGTGTCTTGTAAGGGATGCTTTAGTGTAATCAAAGTGTGCTACTCTGCTTTATACAGGTACTTTCTACATGGGAATCTTACAGTGAGTGTAGTTCACCACAAATGTTTGTGTCACACTCTACCCTTACTGACCCTCCCCTCTCTCCCCTACACTCCAGCGACCCACAGGAGTCCCACGAAGCGTCCAATCCTTTCGATGAGGAGGACGATCCACACAGTCAAAAGTGAGGGATGAATTCTGGCATGAGGTTGGATGCTGGCACTCAACACAATCCCGATTATCTCCATAGCTTCTCTTGTTGTTGGTCCCCTTGTTGGGCCCCTTGAACGCAGGTCCCTCCTTGTGCGTGCCATTTGGAGACCTGAAGGATTGTGATGAGTTCTTTCATGCCAACCCAGGCAGGACCATATATGTACTGAATGCACAGTTTATTATATTTATCTTCTGTTTCTTCTTTTTTTTTTACTCATTTGTAGTAATTTTTCTTCTATTTTTCCAGTAGGGTTTACATATTCCACATGCATGAAAGAGCATCCCTTTTAAAAGGAATCTGCTCATAATTTGCACTTTTAATTTTGTTGTTTAAAAACAAATAAATTTGCATGGAAAGGTTTTATGTACAAGTATGGTGCTGTCCCTTGGAGTTGCATGACTCAGCTTTATGCTTTCTTATCTCAGCATTTCTAACACTTAGCGTACCTTACATATTGCAACTAAAACATCACACTGGCAGTTTTAGGGTCAAGGATGTGCCATATAAGCATTGATGGTAATCATCCTTTACACCTTGACTACGAGGTTGCATGTCAGGTACAAGAAGCACTGTTTTACCTTTTTTTTTTTATAAATATTACTGTTATCATATATTTTAGTCACATGTGATAGGAGAAGTGATCTGTTCTTTAATTTTTATTAACACCATTTTTTGATGGAAGTGCACTGACAGAACAGCTGTGCCCAGCAGGAAGGCAAAAACTTAAAGTACTGTAACACCACCAACCAAGAACACAATATGCTAAAATCAACTTTTGATTTTGTTTTCTGCCATAATTTTTTGTGCGCAATAATGGGAGGTTGTCTAGTCCTCTGCATTTTTCACAGTTGGAAATATCAGACTTTATCACATCTGAGGAGTTTACATAAAATGCATGAGATGTTTTGACCAGTTTTGAGAAGTTTTATGTGTCTTAGTCTGCTGAGCTTTTCTGCCACTTTCAGTTCTTGGCATGTCAACAGCATTGGCAGTATTGTTTTGTTGTGTTTTCTTTATCTGAGTTATTATGGCATGATAGTCTATGTTTTATAATACTCTTTTAAAATATCATAATTGGCCTATATCTATATTTTTATCAATGTGATCAATATGTTTGTAGTTTATGAAATGTGTAATTATATAATATCATAAAGAATATTCAAATAGATTAATAGGACTAACTTGTAGCATGACAAGTAAATTATTCTTAATATTACCCACTTTTTTATGGTCTTTTCTAACTTGTGGTTTATATCAATTTATGGACAAGCAGAGTAATTATAAAGACAGAGATGAAAATAGTTTCTCATAGTCCTTCAGATATCAGTTCAATAGTATTAACTCCTCTACCATGTTTGCTTTCCCTTCTGGGGGTGGACAGGAAACAGAACACAACTTTGTGCATTCCGATTTATGATGTAAGGATTGCAGATAGGAATCACAGGCTTGCATAGGAGTTTAAGTTGTTATGGTTTACACTTCTGCTTTTTGTTTTTATATCAGGATCAGAGAGTATAAATGGCGGGAAGGGAGGTGCAGATGCTTAAAGAAATCATTTATTGATGGGCTGCAAGCTGGCAAAGTAGTTTAACATACATTCAAGACTTAATCTCATTCGCATACATAACTTAGTTCATTTGCACAATGTGTAATAACTGTATAGTGGGGAAATATAGATATTGTTTGTAAAGGAGAGGGATCAGTGTTCTCTAAGAAGTCTACGGCTTTTCTGACAGCTCATGCATGCTGAATCTCAAGAGAAGTTATTTTCTCGATGAATAAAGAACAAATATTTAAGCTTTATGAGCTTTTTAACACTCATTGTGTCTATATAAAGTTTATGCTTTTGATATATATGTTTTGCACACCATGGCTTCTTGTGAATTTAATGAGAATTTTGATAATCAGCTTGCATGTGGGATCATCGAGTCCCTTAAATGTGATGGTCAACCAGAGCAAAACCAAAAGACAACAACATACACCTGTTTTGTTTTCTCTTTATGTATCTCTCCATCCCCTTTTCACAGCAATGGAGTGAGTGGAGATGATGATGAGTGGGACTACAGCGATCGCATGGTTGATCCCAATAAACCCGGAGTGCCAGTGCGAGCACTTTATGACTACGAAGGCGTTGAGTCAGACGAGCTCTCTTTCAAAGTCGGTGAGTTAGCAGCAGGTTCTTCCACTGAGGGATTAGGGACATGTTCCAGAACTTGAAAGGGGCTTGGTATTTGATATTGGCTATGGGCTTTGAAACAGCTTTTATATATATATATATATATATATATATATATATATATATATATATATATATATATATATATATATATATATATATATTTTTTTTTTTTTTTTTTTTTTTTTTTTTTCTTCTTCTTCTTCTTCTTCTTTTTTCTTCTTTTTTTTTCTTCTTTTTTTTTCTTCTTTTTCTTTCTTTTTATGGGATATATTCAGTAACTTTTCTCCTGTAAAATCATTAGTCAAAAGTGCAATATCACAGACCCTAAGAATCATCAAGGATGCATCTTTTAGATGTGATTGAAGCTCACAGTTGTGATTTGCTACATTGCCTTTCTTGTCTGCTTTTCCTTCCAGGGGAAACCTTTGAGAAGCTAGAGGATGAGGATGAGCAGGGATGGTGTACTGGACGCAAGGATGGGCGGATCGGTCTCTATCCTGCGAATTACGTGGAACTCTGCTAAGCCGTCATGTATACCCATTTTGGTAGATCCAACATGTAACATTTCTGTGTAAAGACCTGTAGCATAACATTACCAAGCACAGCAGCTGCTCCCTGACTGGCCTGCCACCACAGGCTGGAAGACTGGTCTCCAACACTCACAGCAACAGTAAATTCATACCTCACATAACCTTTGCCGAAAGAGGGTCGCGAGCCCCATCCCTGTCCAACAGGTCTTTTTAGTCCATATGGTAATGTGTAGCAGTGATTTAGCACTACCAGCATATTGTCTCTTGGATGAACGTGGATTTGTGTCATTGAGGTGGATGAACCCAGATGTAGCTTTATTCAGACAGATCACTCCGCTCCTATCTGGAGAGTCCAACCAACAGCTGAGAATGGTTCATAGCCTTTCAGGAGTTTGTCACTTTTGTCAGTGTTATGTTTTGTAGAGAATTTTCAACTAAAGACTAGTTGAATATCATGATTTATCCAACATTACACTTAACCTTTTTTTATGTGAACTTTTAAAATTCTGAGTTCCTGAAAGATTGAACAAGATGTCATACATCACATTTACATGTGAAAGAATATATGCCTACACCCACACTGTTTATGTATTATGGTTATATAAGGTTATTGTTAATTCTGAGTAATGTTAGTTTTAAGTCGTCTACAGACTAATGTATATTTAGCAAGGCCAGATATGCACCAGACAGTTTATTTGTTTTGTAGATATATATTTGTTGGTGAAAAGGAGAGAAATGTGAGTGCGGTAATGTTTGGAGACAAAAGGCAATTCAGGAGAGGCAAATGAGCCCCGTTCTATGGGGCAATGAAGGAGAGAGGAGAGGGAGGAAAGTTACCAAGGATTGTTTTTCATTAGGACTACACAACCACAGGTAACAGAGACTTGTGCTCTAAATGTGTCCTGGTAATGATGCATATATATCGAATGTACATAGCACTTGTTTTATTCCAATTATTATGTACATAGTGTTGATGGCATGGTGTAGGCCCACGCTGTTACCTAATCACTAAGATGTTCTAACAACTTCTTTATTTATTTTAGTAAAAACTTGTTTCTTTAGAACTACCATCATTCAATGTGGTTTATTATAATGTATTACTCTTAATAGATTTATTATGATTCAAATGATTTATTATTGCTGTTTCTTTTTCTTTTTCTTTTTCTTTTTTATTATTTTTATTCATATATTTATTTTTTTATTCATTTTTATTTTTTTCATTTTCTTTTTTTTTCTTCTTCATCTTCATCATTTTCCAATAAGCATTACTTTTTTATGCCAGTGTTGTCTGTAGTATTTGTCTTTTCGTGGGAGTGAACTACATGCCCAGAGTAACGTCAGCTCTACTACTACTATGCCAATAAGTGTAAGTCATATATGATGTATGAATCATAATGGGTCATTCTATTGTAACCAGCTGAGGTGGAGTTGAATTTCAAGACTCTCCTCAAGCTTTGGTTGTCTCTCTTGTGTAATATCCAGGTCTGCTTAACCCATTTCACTTAACAGATGTCTCCAAGGGTGCAAGAATGTTGATGTTGAGGCGACTGTGTTAAGCATAGTCCATGCTAGATTAGCTTTAAAGTAGAAAACTCGAACGATCAAAAGTGCATTAGGAAATGTTGACCAGTAAAACCCAAGGAGTCAGGTAAACTTATTTACTTCATACTATTATTTTATTTTTATGTTCTGTAGTTCGTAGGCCTTGAGGCTGTCTTTGTTATTGTGTCATGAGTATTCTGGAAGATTTGTGTTTGACCTCTTTACATCATGTTCTCAAACTCTATTGCTTGGAGTCCTTTGTCTGAGCTCCACTAGAAGATGACGAACTATGAAAAAAAAAAAAAACTTTTGCAGGCTATTAGCTGGCACATGCAGGTGCTCTTTCACCTGTTGCTTTTGCATGAGCCAAGATCACTATGTCCTGTAGCATTTTTAAGTGCCACCTTTGAGCAGAAAAACAGAAAACATACTTGAGATACACACAAAGACACAAACACACAACACATATATACTAACACAGAGACATGTAACACACAGGTACTGTAGGTAGAGGAAGAATTAATATTTATTTTTCTGTTGGAGTACAACTTACAAAAATAACAGATTCTGTTTAGCAGTATTTTGGAGAGGTTCTTTCTGTAGACCCCTCACAATATATCTAGTTGGTGCCAGAATAGTGTGATTCATGTAATTGCTATTATTGAAGTCCAGTGGTAAATAAGTGTAAGTATGTGCATTTCACTGTAACTGTAACTGAAGCAGGAAATCGTATTGTAAAAGTGGGATCCTCTAGTATTTTTTGTCATTATTGGCCCAACATAAGGGTAAGATGTATGGAAAATAGCCTTGCAAAACATAGTGGCCCATTTGAAAGAGGTCTAAGGTTAAAAGAAACATTTTGACATAAACATTTAGGCATATTCTGATAAGGGTCCTTTAAGGAAATATGTGGTCCTGTCAGCAGCACAGCAGAATAGTTTAGTATGTGAAAAAAGAAATTAACTATTGTGTACATAAGTGTTTAGAGATAATTTGCACCATACGAAGAGGTAGTTGATTGTGCTTTTAGGAAGGAAACATTTAGTACTCCACTTGACAAGTGTAGACATCGGAATGGGGGCAACATCCTTAACCTTTTGTGCTGCTTTGAATCTTTCATCAGTTTGTCTTTTTTACATTACTCTTTTGAAATGGTATTTCTTGGTGGAAATTCACATTTTGATCACTAGGTTTGATTTCCTTATTTTATTTTGTCACTAGCTTTTTTTATGTTCTGTGAGGAAGAATTAATATTTATTTTTCTGTTGGAGTACAACTTACAAAATAACAGATTCTGTTTAGCAGTATTTTGGAGAGGTTCTTTCTGTAGACCCCTCACAATATATCTAGTTGGTGCCAGAATAGTGTGATTCATGTAATTGCTATTATTGAAGTCCAGTGGTAAATAAGTGTAAGTATGTGCATTTCACTGTAACTGTAACTGAAGCAGGAAATCGTATTGTAAAAGTGGGATCCTCTAGTATTTTTTGTCATTATTGGCCCAACATAAGGGTAAGATGTATGGAAAATAGCCTTGCAAAACATAGTGGCCCATTTGAAAGAGGTCTAAGGTTAAAAGAAACATTTTGACATAAACATTTAGGCATATTCTGATAAGGGTCCTTTAAGGAAATATGTGGTCCTGTCAGCAGCACAGCAGAATAGTTTAGTATGTGAAAAAAGAAATTAACTATTGTGTACATAAGTGTTTAGAGATAATTTGCACCATACGAAGAGGTAGTTGATTGTGCTTTTAGGAAGGAAACATTTAGTACTCCACTTGACAAGTGTAGACATCGGAATGGGGGCAACATCCTTAACCTTTTGTGCTGCTTTGAATCTTTCATCAGTTTGTCTTTTTTACATTACTCTTTTGAAATGGTATTTCTTGGTGGAAATTCACATTTTGATCACTAGGTTTGATTTCCTTATTTTATTTTGTCACTAGCTTTTTTTATGTTCTGTAGTTCGTAGGCCTTGAGGCTGTCTTTGTTATTGTGTCATGAGTATTCTGGAAGATTTGTGTTTGACCTCTTTACATCATGTTCTCAAACTCTATTGCTTGGAGTCCTTTGTCTGAGCTCCACTAGAAGATGACGAACTATGAAAAAAAAAAAAAACTTTTGCAGGCTATTAGCTGGCACATGCAGGTGCTCTTTCACCTGTTGCTTTTGCATGAGCCAAGATCACTATGTCCTGTAGCATTTTTAAGTGCCACCTTTGAGCAGAAAAACAGATGAATGTTGTGTAGATTGTTTTCCCTTCTTGTCCTATAGTAAATATTTATACATCACATTCAGAGGGTTAATGTGCACTGTTGGTCCCACATTGTACATGTAATCAGATGCTAGAGTAAGTTAACGTTGTTTAGTATTAAGTTCGTCAACATCTGTTTCATCAAAGAAATGGTGATCTGTTTCATCAAAGAAATGGTGATCTGCTCAACTGCATGAAAAATTCTGGTAATGTGGAGTCTAGTGACAGTCAAAGATTTGTGCTAAACTCCAAGTAACAAATTCTCTCTGAAGTGCCTGGCATGTATCTGTCATCAGCTGTGAATGAATAAGTTTTGAGGTTTTGATTGGGAGAATGGCCTCTTAAGAGATGCACATCATTCAGTACTGAATAATGCAGTGAATCATACCACTAGATAGAAAGGGAATTTATGTTTTATCACAGGAAGCAGAACCATTTGCTTGTAGGGCATATTGTGGTTTCACTTGGCAGCTGTCCCATTTTGCATACATTTGAGAACAAGATCCTTTTCTTCTTTTTATCTGTTTTATGTGGGTAATTTGTGTGAATACTGTAACTTTCTTTGCACACATGAGTTTCAAAATAATAAACACTTTGAAAAAATAATAATATACTATAGTACTGCATATGCAGTAAATGTTTGCTCATTTTATTAATAATAATATAGAAATTTAAGTTACCGAAATATGGATTCATAAGAAAGTAAAACAAAAATTGTTAAATGATTTTAAGTATTCCAGAGAAAGCATTTGAGATTATTTTTAAAAATGTATAGTGTAATATTAATCATAACTTTCTTTTTCTTTGTTTGCTTGTTTGTGGGTACGTTTGAGCATACAGACAGTATGTTCGTATGCATGTGCGTGTGTGTGTGTGGGGGATTTTTGATATATCAGAAAAAGAAAGTATGCAGCACTGAAATCCACTGGATGTAATTTAGAAATATTCACATGTGTTGTATTAATTTGGGGTAATATATTGTCTAAAAGTAAACAAAATTTTTATTTTGGACAGGCAAAGGATTAAAGTTGTCATCTCTGGAGCTCTGGAGGAGCTAGAACACACAAGTGATTTATACCATGTACAGATACCTAAAATCTGCTCAATAAAAGACTCCATGAAACACTTCAAGGTCTTTAATGCCCATCATCTCATGAAAATAAAGTAAATGTATAGTATGCGTGTTTAATTAAACCCTTTTATTAGTTATTGCCTTTGCCAAATGGTTTTCTTGAACTGATATAGAGGGTCCTCTTGAGGGGTCGAGGCTAGACAACTAAACGGGAAAACCGTGCCTATGGCTCACCCAGGTCTTCTCCACAATCTGACCAATCTTTGTCATAGATTGGGCAATTTGCTGGAGAGATTGAAACAATTCCGGTGCAAGTATTGAGGGTTGGATGGGGTTCTGCAAGGATAGGGTTACCATATAGGTCACTTAGTTTTGTTAATGCTATAGCTTGGGATTCAGAGGTTACTGTGACGGGAGCGGTCGGGTCGGCTACGGAAAGACTTTACCTACTTGTTTTTGGAGACATTGTTGGAAGAGAAGGGTGTTGTCAGAGTAGGGAGCTGTGAGAGGGATCACAAGAAATCGGTCCCATTTGGCTGCGCTAAATAGAGTATTCAAGATTGTTGTAGAGATAGGGGTAGTAGAAGGGCGGGAGCGTGACGAAGAGGGAGTAGTGTTGAGGGGGGTAGTGTTATGGAGAGGTGGGCAATAAGGCTGTAAGGTATTAATAAGGGAGGATGGGGTGGTTGATGTTGGAGGTTGTGGGAGTAGAGGTGTTGAAGTTGAGCATGCTGGGAGAGTGGAAATGTTCCTTGAGGGTTGATTGTTGGCTACTGTACTAGTAGGCGTTGATGAGGGGGGTAGTTGTTGCAGTGTTCGGAGCCGTGGTCAAAGGAGAGCCTGGGGTCAGGGAATCGGGTGAGTTTACTTCGTTGGGGCTATTTGATAAAGGGGCAAGCCTCATTGCCCCTAATAGTGGGGATAAGTTTTCATTACTGGCCATGGTAAGCCTGTGTTATGTTGGGGATAAAAACAGTCCACCCCTCAGAGTCCCCTTGAGGGGTAAGGACTAGGTCTAAATCAGGGGAATACCGTGCCCATGCCTCCCTCAGGCCGTTCGGGACTGGCACAAAGTCATCCTTTCAGCACGGCTCTCACACCTTAGGAGGTGGATAGCAGAAGAGTTTGGTGAAGGGACAGAAACTAAAGTGGGAAGGGAAAAAAAAGACCATGCAAAATTAGTTGAGTCGAGGGCAGAGTCCCAAGGTTAGGGAGTTCCCCATCATTGGGTCCCAGTCTCCGCCTCCTGAGCCCCCCCACGACAACAACGGGCAAGGGATTGGGGGGGTGGACAGGACAACAGAATGCGTAGAACTGAACGAGGGACATAGAGAACATGGGATCAGAACCTGACATCAGATAGGAGTGTGTTAGACGGGTGTGGCCAATGCGTAAGCGGGCGAAAGCCGTCTCACAACGTCTGTTCCGATGAAATGGAGCTGACCAAGAGATTGATAGTTTTACAGTATGCAAAGACTTGACAAGAAAGACTGCCGTCGGGTATAAAAGAATGTCTTAAAGTGGGGATAATAATCTGTGGCTGGAATACATGAGAAACGTGGTTGGTGTGATGTGGACATAGCAGCGTAGCGTGCTAGAGTATCTTGCCGCGGATTCCAACATGGCCGGGCACCATGCAAAATCTGATAGATTTGCTGCAAAACCAGCATATTTTGAGCCGTAATAGGAAAATGAAATGAGGTAAAGGAAAGACCGTGCAAAATTAATTGAGGCTGAAAACCAAGGTAGGGGAGATTACCAGATTCCAACAGTGGGCCTGTCTCCGTCTCCTAAGACCCCCCACCCCTCGACAACAACGGGCAAGGGATTGGGAGCCATATCTTGTTAAAATTATGAATGACCAGCACCAGCAGGCTCTCATTGGTTTGGGGGTGCTAAGAATATCTGGGTTTTTGATGATTGACTGCTTTCTGAAATTTATGGTCTTTTTAAGTGGAATTATTGTTTTATTGTCGGGTGATGTTAAGCTTAATCTTGGCCTTAAATGATGCAACTTAGTTTTTAGTAATATTGGTGGACTTCCCGGGAGTTGGAATGAGCTCGCGGTTATATAATAAAAAAAATGACGTGCTAAAATTCGGGTTTCAGAAATGAGGCACACATAAGAGTTGCTTTTACTTAATTGTAATTAACCCTTATTGCTATGTAGGAATTCTTTGCCTCGAGCTCAAGCTTTATGTTAAAATTCTAGTTGTGGTTTTCATGCTAGTCGTTTTACAAAGTATGAATGTGGCTGCCATGAATACATGATTGTGAGAGCGTGTACTTACTTTCATCATTTCTACATTTTTAGGCTTAATAGAAGTCCCAATGCTGAATTTTCCGAAATGTGTCCCCCAACAGTCCGGCATGACATTTCTGTCTTACATTTCTGAGATAAAGTTGGATGTGAGCAGTTAGTACGTAGGGTAACTCACTGAAGTGGTAATCTTTTTAAATCTTTTATATCTTGATGTGAAAGGAGTAATTAATGTAGGATCCACCACCGTAGTCAAGCTTGTAAGATACAGCTGGACTTCCCGATGCCAAATTTTACCCTAAAGAGAGAGAGAGAGAGAGAGAGAGAGATTGAGAGGAAGGAGAGAGAGAGAGAGAGATGAGGAGAGAGATGAAGGAGAGAGAGAGAGAGAGAGAGAGATGAGAGAGAGAGAGAGAGAGAGAGAGAGAGAGAGAGAGAGAGAGAGAGAGAGATGAAGGAGAGAGAGAGAGAGAGAGAGAGAGAGATGA